GTACCCCCCCCCCCCCCCCCTATATAATCCCCTATTAAGGGCTGTTCGTATAAGGGGGAACATCCAAGAGGAAAAAATCATTCTCTTCTTGACTCCTCGGATAGTGGATGAAGGCCCTACCGCCGCAGAAAGCCCGGGGGTGAGCCCCCAGAAGCCTAGCACCTTGCACAAAAGCGCCCAAAGTGATCGGGTTTTGGGCTTCGTGTTTCGGGTATAGGTTTAGATTTATATCGCACGGACTGCGGTCCGCACGACCCAAGGACCAAGACCAGTTCATCCCAGCTAGAAAGCCCAATAACCCTTCGTTAACCTAAGGGTCCAAGTACCATATAGGAACCCCCTTTAAGTATACAGTATATAGGTAAACGGACCCTTTTGAGTAAGGAACCCACCGTGGTCACGGAGCCTTACTGTAACATGAAGCATTTCTTGAGGTTTTTTGTTCACTTCTCAACCTTCTAAGCCCCAAACCCGAAAATGCCCAGGAACATGAAAACCCTGCCCTAAAGCCCTAAAAACCCCAAACAATTGAGAGCCCTAAAGCCTAGGCCTTCAACCTTCAAACATTAATGGTTAAAAACCTGAAGCCCCAAACGTCCTGGACCCGAACCCCCTGTATGTCTAGTACCCAGAGTAGACCCTATTCCGTTTCTTTTTAGGGTTCGGGCTCCCTTATAAGCCCCTTTAAAACCAAAAAGGGCGCCTTTTCTTTTTCCTAAGTCCATTCCTAGGTTACTCCTGGGTCTAGATGTTTCAGGCTCCCTTGCAAGCCCTTTTTTCCTAGGTTACTCCTGTGCCTAAACCTAAAACCTAAACTCTTGTGAAACCTTAAACCCTAAACCCTAAACCCTAAACCCTATACCCTATAAACCCTAAACCATGTTCAATTTCCAGGAGCCCGATGGAGGCCTTCACGGCCGGACCTTCGGCACAGCCGGCGAGGACCGGGGCAGAGTTGCGTCGAAAGGGGATGTGGGGTTTAGGGTTTAGGGTTTAGGGCTTGGGGTTTATAGGGTTTAGGGTTCAGGGTTTAGGGTTTATAAGTTTAGGATCCATGTGGGTATATAGACAAGAGGACTGGCTTCACGAGAAAAGAAGCCTGAGTCCTACAACCCTCCTTTGACAGAGACAGGGTGTCTTTACACAGGCGGAGCTCGATAGTGTAGGTCTCTTTTTCGGGATCCGAGTCCTGGAACCTCCCTAAACCCTAAACCGTAAACCCTAATCCCTAAACCCTAAACCCACGCTTTCGAGCAGTGACTTGGGGGGTCATTGTCTTCAAGGTCACCGGACAGAAAACTCATATCTGTGGGCGAGCCACAGGGCCTGTTGAGCACGAGCAAACAGTCTATCGTGGTGAAGCCCAGGCAATCCAAGCTTGGGATTCCATAAACCCTAGGCCCTAAACCCTAAACCCGGTTTATAAATTCGGGCTTAGGGTTTCAGATTTGGAGGTTATGGGATTCTAGGATTCAGGATTTACGGCTCAGGGTTTGGGGTTTCAGATTAGGAGTGTAGGGTCTGTCGGAATCTAGGGTTTTTGGTTTACCGGGTTAAAGAACTTACAGCGGGGTTTGAGGCTTACTTAGCCTAGACCCTGAAGCAGCACGCTAAACCCTAAACCCTAAACCCTAAACCCTAAACCCTAAACCCTAAACCCTAAACCCTAAACCCTAAACCCTAAACCCTAAACCTAAACCCTAAACTCTCAACCCTCGGGCTGAAGGAGGAGTTAGTTTTGGGAATCCGAAGCCCTGAGCTCCGAGTCTTAAACCCCCTAAGCCCTGAACCCTGGAGCCCCCTGCGCCGTCCAACTCCCTTTCGGGTTCAGGGTTTAGGGTGTAGGGTTTAGGGTTTAGGGTGTAGGCTTTAGGGATCTCGGGCTGGGGTAGGGGGGGGGGGGTCAGGGTTTAGTGGGACACTGTAAGCTATGTCAAAGGCAGTTGTTTCGATTGGTCTTAGGGTTTAGGAGTCGGGGGGGTGTCAGGTTCAGGGTCGGCCCTAAACCCTAAACTCTAGACCCCAAACCCTAAACCCTAAACCCTAAACCCCAAACCCCAAACCCCAAACCCCAAACCCTAAACCCTGCAGGCTCTCCCATTCCGCGCCCAGCGCGCCGAGCTCGCAGAGCGCGCAGAGAGCGCAGCCTCAAGCAGCAGGCCGTCGCCCCAAGGGCCCGGGTAGGGTTTAGGGTTCAGGGTTTATAGGGCGTTTATAGGGTTTATAGGGTTTATAGGGTTTAGAGGGTTTAGAGGGTTTAGAGGGTTTAGAGGGTTTAGAGGGTTTATAGGGTTTATAGGGTTTGAGGTTTAGGGGACCTGTATAGTAGACCCCAACTACTAGGATTCCCTCATAATAAGGACTGCAAAAAAAGGTACCCCTGATTTCGGAAACCCCCATATGCTTGGGCCCTAACCCTAAACCCTAAAGCTTAAGCCCTAAACCCTAAACCCTAAACCCTGAACCCTGAACTGCCTCACTTGCTACCTGCGAAGGCCCTGCGCATCCTGGTCCGGTCCTCAGCGCCAGCGCTGCGGCCGCGCTCGCCGCAGCAGCGGCGCACCGGAGAGGCCTTAGGGTTTAGGGTTTAGGGTTAGAGTTTCGGCTTGAGGGTTTAGGGTTTATGGTTTTAGGGTTTAGGGCTTCGTGGGCAAGGGCTTAGTTTGGGTTTTGGGTTTAGGGCCTCCAGGGCTTGGGGTTCAGGGTTTTGGGTTCAGGCTTTGGTGGGTTTAGGGTTCGATTTAGGGTCCACATTTGCACTCGTTAGGGGGCATCCACCCGATGGTAGGGGTTGGATGAAAGCAGGCTGATTGGGCTTGGTTGACCAAGAATGTTGCTTCTTTCAATGGATGAAGACTCGTACCCCTAAGGTTGTAGCCCTAAAGGTTCCCCCTTAATGTATTCCTAGTATGGCTGTCCCTAAAACCCAAGGGTACAACCTCAAGGGTCCAAGGTATAACCCCCAAGTTTTTATTTTAATGGGGCGGGTGCGGGGGCAGGTTTAGTATTGTCTAGGACGACTCTTCCTCGAGTTTAGGGTTTACGGTTCAAGCAAACCTAACCTAGCTAGAGAGGCCTTCTGACAGCAATTTCACCTCATGGCTCGGGGTGTGAGGTTTCGCAGTTTCCGCCAAGCTAGTGGTGGAGGCCTAGTCTAACATGCCTGGGGATGTTCCCCGTTATACTAACAGTCCTGAATAGGGATTATAGTATCCCCCCCCCCCTATTCTAGTTCCTATTAAGGACTGTTACATCCCAAGTGATGCCCATCAGTTTCCTTATTTCCCACTAGGGCTTTGTTTCCTTTGTTACGCCCCACTTAGACAACAAACAAAAAGACATTGTTTGTGTTTACCCAACTCTGTAGTACGAGCTATACTACTCGGGGCACGTCTGACTTTCATATGGAGAGCTTGCCCCAAGTTATGGGCTTCTTTTGGTGTCCTCAACTGTATACAGAATACTGCGCAAACAAAAAGACCTTAAAAAGTACCCAACAAAAAGAACCAGCCCCAAGCTGACCCAAAGAACCCCTTGGCTTGTCAACCCCAAAAAACTTGCTTCTTTTTTTACAACAGAGAACTCCAGAGCTGTTTCTGCAATCGTTCTGTGGCATAACAACCCCTCAAATAAGTTTCATGCTAGGCTTATCCCTCTTGTTAGGGATTAGGTTCGTTTACAACTCTTTAAACCCCCCAAAAATGGCACCCTTTGTTATTCCTATAGGTGCTCTGGGGTCCAGCCTCGGTATCCGAGAAGAGCAGCAGTTTTTGGGGTTCGGATTGGGGTTTTGGAGGTGAACGCTAGGGACACCTTGTAGAGAGACCCTAAACCCTAAACCCTAAAACCCTAAAACCCTAAAACCTAAACTAAGCTGCACCGTATGACCCACGAAGAAGTTTGGGTTTGTGGGGCTTGGGGGGTTCAGGGGTTGAGAGGTTGGGATGTTCCCCCTTATACTGACAGTCCTTAATCGATATTCTAATCGGGGGTACTAGAATCCCTACGAAGGACTGTTAGTCTAACCGTAATCCCTAAACCCAGAACCCTAAACCTAAACCCTAAAGAAAGGGCAACATCTCAAGTTTAGCATAAGTGGGAACATCCCAGCTTAGAGGTTTCCAAAACCCTAAACCCCAAACCCTAAACCCTAATCCCAGGCGCGAGGCAACGCCGGCGCATAGCACGGCAAGTCTACACCCGGCCGTGCCATGGCGGCGAGCCGCTCGGCGCGACGATGCGTGGCCCAAGCTTGGGGACTTAGGCTTTAGGGTTTAGGGTGTAGGGTTTAGGGTTTAGGACCAAATGAACCCTAAAATTGGGGTCATATGAAACAAGATTTAAAGTACTGTTAGTGGTGAGTGTATGTAAGGTTCCTTTTAATGTTGGACTCGGTTTAGTGCGTAGGGGTCCCCCCCCCCAAACAATTTTGGGGTTTTTTGGGGATCCTTAATAGTGTGGGCTGGGGTTGTCGTCGTCGTAGTAGTACTAGAGACACTTTGAGGGTGCCACACTCGTGCCCTGAGGGCACAGACCTAACGACATCTGCATCAGCGGAGATGAAAGAAACCAGCCTTCAGCTTCCTTTGTTCTCTCTAAGTCAACCAGCTCGGATACCCAAATAACCTTTTTTTCCCCTAACCGGCAACCCCGGCCGGGCAAACATCGCATAACTGAGGACCACCCTAAACAATGGGGGGTCCCCTATAAGACTTCCAGAACATCGCATAATAGTGCCCCTTCTCACTAAACCGAGTGGAACATTAATATTGGTGAGTGTATAAACCCTACTTCATATACCCTGTATTACTATAATTCCTACCAGGTAACATGAACCAAAAACCCTTTTAGGGTTCTTTTGGTCCCCAAGGAATGCCTCTCTTACAGGAACAAAAAGAGGCAGGCTCGGACAAAAAGTCCTAGTTGTAGTCACCCTAATCATTAAACCCCTACCCCCGAAGCCAAGCAGAAGCCCGAGGCATTTGTCCTTTGACAGAAAGATGGAACTGGAGGCCGGGTGGCGCGAGGGCTAAGTTCACCTGACGCTGAACATTTAGGGTTTGGTGTGGGGTTTAGGGTTTCGGGTTTGGGGTTTGGTGTTGGGGGTTTGGGGTTTAGGGCAGGGGTTTCGGGTTTTGGGTTTCAGGTCTGGGGTTGAGGAGGTTTTTCGAGTTTGGGGTTGACACGAACTTGGAGTCATGGGGTTTTGGGGGTTTGAGGTGGGTTTGAGGCCCAGTAACCCTAAACCCTAAACCCTAAACCCTAAAGGAATCTACCTGACTTTTCCTATATGGGATCCGTATTATGACTCTCAGGTACCTTCCATGAAGGGGAATTGGGCTCTTTTTTTTTACGGGGGGGGGGGGGGGGGGGTAGGTTGAGGGCTTATTTCGGGCTCCCTTAAATGAAAACGGTAGCCAACCCGGAAAAGCCCTAAGCCCTAAACTCTAAACCCTTGCCTGTACCCTAAACTCTACTAAGAATTCAACATACCCCAAACCCGTACCCCTTAACCTAGAAAGGAAGAAGGAAAGGAAGGATTTTACCATGCTCCATAATTTCTTTTAGGGGTCTGCCCAAGGGGTATGTCGAATAATTCTCAGATAGTACTCATGACAATCATGGCTGCCGGGCTACAGTCACGACCGGGCTTTTCTACTGTTTGCTTAAGAACCCCAGAAAAAGCAGTATTCCACCTTGTAAGGGAAAGCTAGGGATTGTTTTATTCATTCATCTAGAAATTCATTTGATCTCTTTTTCTCTCTCTCTCTCTCTTTTTTTTTTTTTTGGGGGGGGGGGGGGGGTGGTTGGGTTCTTAAGCAAATGGTAGTTTCGGGGTGTAGAGGCGTAGGGTGCCGGGTGCCTGAGCGGGATTAGGGTTTAGGGTTAGAGTGTAGTGGCTTTGGGCTTGAAAGACCCTCGAAACCTGAACCATCCCCCCCCGCCCCGACGCAGTTGACGCAGTTGTGAGTCGCCAGGCCATTGTGGATCAGTTAGCGACGCCAGGCCTGCGCCTTCAGCGGGGTTGTGGGCTCATACCGTGCTACGGGCTCAAGGATGTTTCGGGTTTTTTTGGGGTGTGGTTTGGGATGTCCCCTCTTACACTAACAGTCCTTAGTCGGGATTATGGTACCCCCCCCCCCCCCCCCCCCCCCTAGTAGAATCCCTATGAAGGACTGCTAGCCTGAGGGGGAACATCCCAAGATTTAGGGGTTTTTGGGTGTAGTGTAGTGCTTACTGGTGCTGATGCGACAATATGTGTCAGTTTCTATGGGCCCGGATCCCTATACAACCCTATACCCTCAGGGTCCATGTGTACCTTTTCTAATTTTTGACTTGGGCCCTGGTGCTACGAAATAGGATCTTTTAAGGCGCAAGTATATACTATCCAGGTACACGGACCCTGTGGGATATAACAAAGTGCAACCCTGGATAGTTGATCTTGATGGGGCTCCGACATCGACCCCAGCTCAGGGTTCGGGTTGGTGGGTTCCAGCAGAGTTGAAGGGTTTAGGGGTTTTTAGGGGCTAGGGTTGAGGCGTTAGAGGTTAGTAGGGCTGCCCTAGTAGGGCTTAGGGCTTAGGATGGTTTAGGCTCCTTGAACCCTAAACCCTAAGCCCGAAACCCTAAAGGCTGTAGGGGCGTGAGGTTTATGCCGAGGGCTGTAGGTGTCAGGCTTTCTGGAGCTGACACCCTAAACCCTCTACTAGGTCTCTCAGTGGGCCCTTTTTTCCCTTTTTGGGGGCCTTGGGTTCTTTATAATCAAACTACCCAAGACCAAAAAGGGAGCACTTATTATTCCTATAGGTTACCGGGGATCCTAGCCCTAAACCCCAACCCCAAGCAACACAACCCTGAGGCCGGGTCCTGTGCCTCTTCTCAAGTGCACTACAGAATTCTTAGCCATTCCTGAATCGCTAAACCCTAAACCCTAAGCCCTAAACCCTAAACCCCCAAACCCTAAACCCCAAACCCTGAACCCCTTTTCATGTATTACTGATGCCTCTCTGGTACGCCTTTCGTGCCCTGCTGGGCCTGATCTCTGCTCTTTCAAGAACTCTGGGCGGCCTTAGGTCTACAGAGAGTGATAGAACCCAAACCCTAGACCCTAAACCCTAAACCCTAAACCCTAAACCCTAAACCCTAAACCCTAAACCCTAAACCCTAAACCTTATGGTGTACGTAGTGGTATGCATCTCTTTAACTAGTCACATTCACGTGACAAGGATTGCTGCTCAGGATCTAAAGTGTCAGCCCCGAGCCGCTCCTTAAATCCCAAACCCTTTTTGGGGAGTTCAGGGTTTAGGGTTGAGGGTTTAGGTTTAGGGTTTAGGGTTTAGGGTTTAGGGTTCAGGTTTTAGGGTTTAACGAATTTAGGGCTTACGATATTAGGGGTACCTTACTGGGGTCCCTATTTTAAGGGGATCCCACCATTTGGGGGGTCTATATTGGGGGGAGTCCCTTATTTTTCTAAACACCCATATACTATATACTTGGGCCCTCACCCCCTTTGAGGCCCAAGCGTATACTGTATAGGTACTCGGATATTTTGGGACCCCAGCTGAATGGCACGTGAACCCACGCCCTACAACCGTTGTTGGGGTGTTACCTATAGGCCTACAGAGGACACAGTACCCCTCATCCACAAGGAATACACCGTCAATCATAGTCCAGAATTCCCCAACGTAGCTTGGGGTATATTCCTTATTCAAGGGGGGGCAGTGAACTCTTTGTGTAATGCCATCCCCCCTCATATTAGCCCCCCCCGCCCCACTCCCTAATAGTAAGTACTGCCTTCATAGTTATAACCCTAAACCCTAAACCCTAAACCAAACCCTAGACCCTAATCACTAAACCCTAAGCCCTAAACCGGAGGGGTATTTAATATTAGGGGGAGGGGATTATATGCGTGCAAGCTCGATGCTTGCGTGGCTTCTGCTGGTTTCGGCTTCTGCTTCACTTGGCAGGAAAGGGCATCACCGCCACGGACGAGGCCGGAGGGTTTAGGGTTTAGGGTTTAGGGCCTAGGGCCTAGGCCTAGGGCCTAGGGTTTAGGGTTTAGGGTTTAGGGTTTAGAGGAGAACTTGGCTTCCCCATCACGGGTGTAGGTCTGTATGTTTGTCTGTATGCTAGGGGTTGTGGTAGCCAAATAGTCCTCGGCCCAAACCCTGCAGAGCCCAAAACCTTCAAAGCCTCAAACCCTCAAACCCTGAAACCGGAATCCCAACCTTCACGCCCAAGCCAATGCACTCTAAGCCCGAACTAAACCCAAACCCTAAACCCTAACCCTAAACCCTAAACCCTAAACCCTAAACCTGCGGCATGGAGGGGCGGGCCAGCGTGGCAGTCTGACCTTCCAAGCATTTAAGCCCCGGAAGTTGGTTTGAATGCGCTGAAAGCGGAAGATTTAGGGTTTAGGGTTTAGGGCTTAGGGTTTAGGGTTTAGGGTTTAGGGTTTAGGGTTTAGGGTTTAGGGCACCCCAAAAGAGACTACATCCATTTTTATCTCGGGAGGCCCTTTTGAACATTTTGTGTTTTCCCTTGTTGGAGTTAAGAGTATCATATGTAGGAGTTTGTCTCAGAGGGTTTTAGGGGCCATACTAGTTATAGGGGTCTTCAGCAGGGTTGATACACCCTCAACCCTGTAGACCTAGCAAAGGCTTGTGTAGGCTTTCTAGGGACTTTAGGGTTCAGAGAACGGTTGACATAGAAGGTTTGTATGTCTCATCGTTTTTCAAATAGGGTTTAGGGCCTGTTCAGTTCACCGAGCTTCCACATCTCTCCACCCCCTAGACCCGAAGCCCTGAAAGTGTTTCGGCTGAGGGGCTGGGGGTTTTGAGGTTTGGGGTTTGGGGTTTAGGGTTTGGGGTTTAGGGCTTAGGGTTTAGGGTTTAGGGTTTAGGGCTTACGGTTTAGGGTTTAGGGTTTAGGGTGTAGAAGAACTGGCCGCATGCATTGGACCTGGATGCGAGGGCGCCGGCACCATCGGCAATAGATTCGAGGCTGTGGGCATCGAGAACACCGAGGAAAACAGGCCCCTTGCGCTCCGGTGCTGCAGGGTGTAGAGCGTAGAAGGCCCCCAAACCCTAAACCCTAAACCCTAAACCCCAAACCCTAAACCCTAAACCCTACAGGTTCAGGGTTTGAGGGGTTTCTGGATTGACTCTGCGAAACGTGGCATGACAGGCGTAGCCGGGAGTCCAGCGTGTTGGGGGGCAAGTTACAGGGGCTTAGGGATTTAGGACTTTTCACATCATGGGTTCCCCAACCCCCCTCTATACCCCCCTTCTCCCCATCAGTACAGGCTGTTTAGGGATAATTACGCTTCATTAAGGCTATTTAAGGGGGAGCCTCGGGGGGGGTAGAAAAGAGAAGGGTAGAACAAGTTGAGGCAGCCATTTGCCTTCGTAGTAGAGTAGTTCGACTGGGATACTGGACAACTATGTTTGGCTTCAACGCGTCCGAGGATTTCGGGTTTGGGGTCTAGGGTTTGGGGTTTAGGGGTTGAGGTTTTGCGGTTTCTGGTTTAGGGTTTAGGGGTTCCGGCTTTTCGAGATGTGAACTCTCCCCACGGCGCTGCTCAAGAAGCAGAAGCCCCCGAAGAAGAGGCTGAAGCCCTACCCTAAACCCTGAACCCTAGACCCTAAACCCCCCCTCCCCAAGAAGGCGTCGGCTCTCGCTGCAATAAAGCATGCAGTCGGGAGTCATGCCTGGCCCCTGCAGGGTTTTCGGTTTATACAGTTTAGGGTTCAGGGTTTTAGGGTGTGGGGTTTATAGGGTTTAGGCTGCAGGGGTTCCTCTTCATCCTACAAGCCCTACTTGGAGGTTCATGGTACTTAGCAACTAATTAAGACTGTACTTATAACTGCACTGATAACCATACTAGTGCACTTAAGGCACTTATAAGTGGGTTAGAAGTACAGTGAAAACTAGTTACTAAGTACCATGAGCCTCCAAGTAATCCGTAATTAAACCTGAACACACAGGCGAATTTACCGACAGATGCTGTACCAGACGGACGGCGTCGAAAGGTATTTGCGCCTCGGTCTTCTCAACTGTTGCGACGTCCCTAAACCCTAAAACCGTTACCTTAAACCCTAAACCCTAAACCCAGTTTAGGGTTTAGGGCGTTTGGGGACTTAGCAGCTGAATGATCACACTTTACACTTTTGGGGATCATGCAATCGCCTATTGAACTGAACGTGTACGCTGCTTTGGGGGGGCTTATGAACTCAGCAACGAAGGGGAGTGAAGGGCTGCTGTTGGCGGATGTTTAGAAACCCTAAACCCTAAACCCTAAACCCGAAACCCTAAACCCTAAACCCTACATGTGAATTCTGGGTACGTAGGGGTTTTGGTGAGACATTAGAACTCCCCTAGGTTAGGAGGATCAGGCATCGGAAGAATATGCTCAGACGGCTTTAACGGGCCAACCTAGGGTTTAGTTTAGCTTTCAGGGTTTCGGGTTTAGGCTTTAGGGTTTAGGGTCACTGTGCCCTCGTCACGCCTGAATCCCGACAGTCAGCTTCGCGGATGCCGTGAGGGCCCTATGCCCTAAAGTGCTGGGCTCGTGTGAAGGTAGTTGCACTTGTCTACAAAACACAAGGCTCCAAATGGCAGCAGTACCCCAAACGGGAGCCTAAACCCTAAACCCTAAACCCTAAACCCCAAACCCTAAACCCCAAACCCTAAACCCTAAACCCCAATGCCTTAGGATCCTCCTCACATATTCGGCTCACAGCCCCGCACCCCGCCCCGCCCGGCCTAAGGTTACCCGAGACCTAGTAAAGTCTATGAGGGAACCTTTGCCCACACTGGGTCCCCATACTGGTGTTTAGGGTTTAGGGTTTAGGGTTTAGGGTTTAGGGTTTAGGGTTTAGGGTTTAGGTGGTCTTCGCAATAGGGAAGTAGTGGTGATATTTTGGGGACATGTAGGAGGGAGTATAGGAATAGGCCTCTGATATGGATGAGTTATTCCTATACTGGTATTGGTCATGGGGTTGTGGTGATATAGTTGGTGAGATGTACGGGGGAGTATAGGAATAATGTTCTAATGGGGCGTCTGATGGCATTATTACCCCTCAAAATGGGCAAGTCGTCTGCTAAATGAACCTAGGAGCGGGGCAATCCTGGATCCAGAGACCGTCTACCAGAAAAATGATGCAGGCGCACCGCTGACATCCCTAAACCCTAGGCCCTAAACCCTAAAACCCAAACCCCAAACCCTAAAACCCAAACCCTAAACCTCAGCCAACAGATGATGGCCCATACTGCACCTTCCGTCATAAGCCAGCATGGGGCGCGGGAACTTCATGCTTACTTAGAGGTTCATGGGTAGTTATAAGCCGGGTTATAAGTACCCTGCCCTCAATATCGTAAACCCTAAATATAAACCCTGAACCCTAAAGCCTAGGGTTAACTGCAATTCCCTACTTAATTATAATAACTTCCCTCGGTTGACATGAACCTCCAAGCAGGATCCACCTGGGAGTACGAAAATAAGGGACCCCTCATACAGACCCCCCCCCCAATAGTAGGACCCCCTTATAATAAAGACCCCAATAAGGTACCCCTAATATCGTAAACCCTAAACCCTAAACCCTACTAAGCCCTAGTCTACGGGTGACTTGGGGGTTCTGAATCCAATGCGAAGCGCTGCACGCCCGAAGTTTCAGAAGATAAGGCTTGAAGGCTCAGACGCAGGTTTGCAGTTCAGGTTTAGGTGTTCGGGTTTAGGGTGTAGGGTGGAGGGTTTGGGGTTTAGGGTTTAGGTTTTTTTGTTTAGGGTGTTAGGGTTTAGGGTTTAGGGAATCAAGTTTAGGGTTCAGGGCAAACCCTGAACCCAAACCCTAAGCCCTAAACCCTTGTCAAGGGCTTCGGGGTTGATCGTCGCCGCGCCTCGAGATTCACCTAAAGAACCAAAAACCTACCTCTCTTTTTTGGCAGGTTACTTACTATAAGACCCCTTATAGGATTCACAGGCAACCTACGAAAAACCTCAACCCTTAATCCGAAACCCTAAGCCCTAAATGGGGACTCTACACCCTAAACTCTAACCCCTAAATCCTAAACCCTAAAGCCTAAACCCCAAAAGGTGAGGTTTGGGTTTAGGCTTGGAAGCTGGAGGTTGACGGCGTCGGGCCTAAGCCCTAAACCCTAAACTCTCAGCCCGGCGGCATTTAGGGTTAGGGTGTAGGGTTTAGGGTTTAGGGTGTAGGGTTTCGGGTTTAGGGTTTCGGGTTTAGGGTTTAGAGTTTAGGGTTTAGGGTTTGGATTTAGGCATCAAGTAGCCGGGTGCTCTCCCCAAGGGTCCGTGTACCTTTGACATGGACCCTTAGGGTCTTGTCCTAAGACATGCCGCAAAATTTGCTCTGATCTTCGAACCCCGAGGTACTCAGAGAGCCCGCTATACTCGCTTCTTCAAGCAATACACCTCACATCAGATTAGGACCCCTTTTTCTGATTTAAGGTATCTTGCTGATTAATGAGGTGTTGGGCTCTTATGGTCTTATGGTACTTGGTCAGGAAAACCTATTCCCCAAGAGAATGTATTACCTAGTACCCCCTTGCAACCCATGGTACTTTGGCAAAGACGAAGGATCCTTAGGTCAACCCCCTACATCTTGGAGACTGTAAACCCTAAACCCTAAACCCTAAACCCTAAACCCTAAACCCTAAACCCCCACAAAAGCCATTCGGCTGAACCCTTCATACCTCAACCTTAACCCCCTTGCACGACCCTGAGTTGCCCTGAGGCCACGCAGGGTTCAGGGTTTAGGGGTTAGGGCTTCCCTAAACCCTAAACCCTAAACCCTAAGCCCTAAGCCCTAAACCCTAAACCCTAAACCCTAAACCGCTGCTGCGCTCCAAGAGGCGTTCTCTTCCCAGAGGCTCTGTCCCTGTCGGGCATCGTGCCAGGCGTGAAGCCTCACCTCAAGGTCTACGCCGCTTGGTCGCGGTTTGGGGTTTAGGGTTTAGGGTTTAGGGTTTAGGGTTTAGGGTACCCCTAAACTCCTAAAACCAGATTCTGAACCCCCTGAAAGCCTGAAAACCCTAAGCCGGAGGCTTCTGCGTGTAGTAGCTCGTGTTTCCGGAAGTTTTTCGCGATGGCACTTTGGGGGAAAGAAGGCCTCCCCCCCACCTTCCCCCCCCCCCCCCCGCCGAGGAGTTGGGTTTAGGGTTTAGGGTTTGGGGTTTAGGGTTTAGGGTTTAGGGTGTAGGGAGGCGCCCAGCCGAAGTTCGGAGGATGAGCATCAGGAGGGGCAATTTTTGGGGCTTTCGAAACCCCCCATTTGGGATGTTGTCCCCCTGGTACGAACAGGCCTATCCCCCCACCCTTCAGAAATGGGTTTAGGGTTTACGGTTTAGGGTTTAGGGTTTAGGGTTTGAAGAGGGGGGGCGGGAGGCGCCTAAATGTACCTTAAGGGCGGGGAGATACCAGGCCTTAGTACAAGGAATATAGTACCCTCCATGACAATCCCTATCAAGGACTGTTAGTATACAGGCGAACATCCCAATCGCACCCATAATCAACCTTATACACAGGGCCTTGTTGAAGCAGGTGAATGAGGGCTTTGGAGGTGGGATTCGGGGTCATCGGAGACCTCGCGTTTAGCTTGTAAACCCTTAAGCCCTTAAACCCCTAAACCCTAAACCCTTCAGCCCTTAAACCCCGAAGCCCTAAGCCCTAAGCCCTAAGCCCTAAGCCCTAAGCACTAAGCCCTAAGCCCTAAGCCCTAAGCCCTAAGCCCTAAGCCCCGACCCCTAAACCCCAAACCCTGAACAACCTTAAGAGCAAGTTTCTCCTCAGCCTCCGCTGTTGCGCTGAGGAGCTGCCCGGTACGCACGGCGACACCGTGATGCAGGCTTTGCTTGCGCCCCGGGTGGTCCACGTAGCCCAAAGTGGGTTTAGGGTTTGGGGGTTTGGGGTTTGGGGTTTTGGGTTTAGGTTTTGGGGTTTGGGTTTAGGGTACAGCCCAAAATGGTCACTTCTGCAGTTGTTGGTCATTCTTGGGGCTACTATTAGGGGTCTTAAGGTCCTTGGAGTTCCTAGGGCTCTTAGGGCTCTTCGGGTTCTGAAGGCTCTTAAAGTTCTTGGGCTTCTCGGGGTTCTTAGTGTTTGAAACCCTGAATCCAGCCAAGCACTCCACTCCTGCCCTCCCATCTTCGGGGCCTTGGCGCAAGGGTTTAGGGTTTAGGGTTTCGGGGTTAACCCCATACCTTCCCTTCCTGGGTTTAAGAGGATCATAGGAATGTCTTTCGGAGGGTTGAAGGCGCATCCGAGTTGAGCATAAACGAAAAAGGTTTGGCCCTCCTAGAGGGGCTAGGTTTCTCAGTGGGCCCTTTCTCCCTTTTTGGGGCCTTAGGTTCTTTATAAAACTACCCAATGCCAAAAAGGGGGCCCTTGTTATTCCTAGGTTGCTGGGATCCTACAGAGGGGCTGTTAGGTTGACTCCGGGATTTCAAAGTCCCTGGGGTGACGGGCTTAGGGCTCAGGGCTGGTCAGGGAGGTGTTTGTTGCTCTTGTGCTCTACCAGGCATGTTTAGACTTTAGGGTTTAGGTTTTATTTTAGGGTTTGGGTTGAGGGTTTAGTTAGGGTTTAGGGTTTAGGGTTTAGGGTTTAGGGTTTGGGGTTTGGGGTTTAGGGTTTAGGGCTTAGGGTTTAGGGTTCAGGGCTGAAAACCTCGCGTGTGTGGGTTTCCTCATGAGAAGCAAACTTGGACGACTCGGGAGGGCCTCGACGGCTTGCATGCCCGCCTCGCAAAGTTCAAGGCCGACGTCCTCCGGGCCTTATGGGTTTGGGTTTTAGGGCTTAGGGCTTAGGGCTTAGGGCTTAGGGCTTAGGGCTTAGGGCTTAGGGCTTAGGGTTTAGGGTTTAGGGTTTAGGGTTTAGGGTTTAGGGTTTGGGGTTTGGGGTTTGGGGTTTAGGGTTTAGGGTTTAGTGATTTTGGGTTGAGGTCTGAAGGGGTTGAACAGCTAGGGGGGGGGAGTTCGGGGTGGGTGGGGTGTCTGACGAGCCTAAACCTTAATCCTAAACCCTAAGCCCTAAGTCCTTTACAGGACGGTTGCAAAAGGGCCCTTCGCTCCGGAAGGGTTGGGAGAGTGTGTGTGTGTGTGTGTGTGTCAGGGTAGTTTCATGGTCCCTGAATGTGGCGCCTTGCTTCCTTTGCAGGGTTCCGAAGTATGGGCCTCTAGGTTTTTTTGGGTGTATGATGTAAGGGGCCCCCCTTTTGAAGGGGCCCATATTCAGCGACCATGTAGCTGCTCTCAGAGTGTGCGTGGTGCTTGTCTTCCTGGGGTCTTTGGGATGACGCTGTGGATTTCCCTTTTGGCCGTCGTAGCTGGAACTGCACACCACAGTACACGAAGAAGTTCTTGTCCCTCAACCCCAGGGGCCCTTCCAAAACCGCCTCAACCCTAACCCTAAACCCTAAACCCTAAACCCTAAACCCTAAACCCTAAACCCTAAACCCCCCTTCAACCCTCGACCCCCAATCCTCAACCCTATACCCTAAACCCGAACCCGAAGCCTTCTAGACCCCAGGCCCTGAATGCCGAAACGGCCGACTGCTGTTTCAGGAGGATCGATGCCCGCAGTCCGACGGGTTTTAACGGGCCCGGGTTTATAGGGTTCAGGGTTTAGGGTGCAATGGCGGCCGCACCCGACTCCATCGAGGTAACGGTCCTCAGCCTAAGCGGGGGTGAGATCGCAAAGCTGATCGCCACACCGCAGACATCCATTCAGGCGCCTGGAACCATTACAGTACAGGGCGGTTTGAACAGATGACCCTTAATTCCTCTATATCATTTTTACGAAGCCATAGAACCTTGATTGTTATGGGGCCTCCAAACCTACCCTAGAGTAGGGTTGCTTCGGGTTTCTAGGGCTCAGGTGCACTCCACACGTCTACGTAAACCCCGCATCTTAGGGTAGTTTCATGGTCCCTGAAAAGGGGTGGCCTTTATAATACACCCCATATAAACTAGGGGGCCGATACATCCGAACGCTTTAAAGGAGGTAAGGGACCGTACTAAGGGCCCATGAAACCACCCTTAGATTGTAGCCCTAAACCCTAAACCCTAATATAAACCCCACAACTCCCGAAGCCGCATGGAGAGCCGTTCGAAGTTTGAAGCTTTCAGCCTTTGAATCCAATATGGGCCCTCTAGCTGTAGCTGACTAAGAGGACGCTTTACACTCTTTGGAATACTATACTCCCCCTATAGTACTGAAAGTGTACGTTTTTTTTTTTTTTTTTGGGGGGGGGGTCTTATGAACTCAGCAACTAAGTCCTAGCTACCTTTAAGGTAGCTAGGTAGGCCCTGGGGATATTTTATGTGTTTACCCTTTGTTGGGTTTAAGAGGACTATGCTTGGGAGATTTTGTCAGAGGGCTCGCAGGGCCATCCCAGATAGTATTATGTGTTGCCCTCGCCATGTTTAGGGTTTAGGGCTTAGGGTTTAGGGTTTAGGGTTTAGGGTTTAGGGTTTAGGGTTGAACCGTAAGCCCGAAAAGACCCTAAGAAGTGTTGACCCCAAATATCCTCGAAATCAGAGAACTGGCCAGATGGACGCCTCGGCAGCCCCTAATCCCCTAAACTCTCAGCCCTAAACCCTAAACCCTAAACCGTAAACCCTAAACCCTAAACCCTAAACTCCTAAACCCTCAACTCCCAAACTCCTAAAACCTAAATCCTGAACCCCTAAACCCCTAAACCCGAGACCTTAAACCCTAAACCCCAAGACCCGACACCTCAAACCCTAAAACCCGTAAACCCGTAAACCCTAAACCCCTAAACCCGAGACCTCAAAACCTAAAGCCCTAAGCCCCTAAACCCCAAAACCCGAGACCTTAAACCCTGAAACCCTAAACCCAAAAGCCTAAACCCAAATACCCTAAATACCCCTAAACCCTAAACCCTAAAGCCCTAAAACCTAAACCCTAAACCCTAAAACCCTAAATACCCCTAAACCCTAAAACCCCAAAACCCTAAAACCTCTGAGGAGATGAAGGAGGAGCTCTCAACGAAGACAGGGCTGTCGGTGATGCTGCAGGCCCTGACTTACCAGGACCTTAGCCATGACCTTTCGGGTTTAGGGTTTAGGGTTTAGGGTTTAGGGTTTAGGGTTTAGGGTTTACGGTTGGAAGTTGTTGTTTAGGGAACTAGGAGGGCTACCTAGCTTAAGCGACTGGCTGTTCAGAATGGAAAGTGGCCATGGCTTGGATTAGAAGAGGTTCTAGGACCCGGAGTGCGCCCTTATTTCTTTTTTTTTGGTGTTTAGGTTCCCCTTATAAGCCTCTTTAAGCCAAAAAGGGCGCCCTTTTTCATGGGTTTCGTTCACTTGAGGACCAAGCGCTCAACGATTCGCAGACCTGCCAGCAACTGGGGTGGACTGGACCCGTGTCTGTTTACATGGTGGCCAAGAGCGCCTCATACAAAGTTGTGGCAGACTTGCTTCCCTCCCTGTTATGCATGATACCAACTATTATTCAGGGGAATTCTACATATATATATATATATGTATATCCATCCTCCTTATATAACGCCCCAGCCCAGCCCCACCACCCGCTCATAAGCTGCAACCCAGCCCAGAAGGGGCACCCGCATCCGAATATAGCTCCTGTACCACAAATCAGGCAACCCCCTCGGTTTTCTCAACATGTTTCACTTGATTTCTGGTCACCATGTCCCCTAAACCTTAAACCCTAAACCCTCAACCCTAGTTTTTGAAGGTTGGACAACCATCCAGGGGCCGCAGCCAAAGCCAGTGGCTTTGGGTTGGTTTCGGGCGCCTGTTCCCTAGACCGTATTCCCCCCCAAAGGATCCCCACCCGAAACCTTTAGGGTTTTGGGTTTTGGGTTTTGGGCTTGGGGTTTAGGGTTTAGGGTTTAGGGTCTAAACCCTAAACCCTCACCCCCCGGTCCCAAGCTCCACCCAGGTGTCGATTTCGACGGGCGCATCGCTTTGCTTAGGGAAGATAAGGCCGACCGATCGAAGGCTTCAGAGTTTTGGGTTTCGGGGTTAGGGGACGGTAAAGTTTAGGGTTTAGGGCCTTGGTATCACAGTGCTACCTTTCGTCCCTTATGTTGGTTCAAGGTTCCAAGTAAAGTATCCAAACCAAAACTTGTGCCCGTATTGTTTAGTATGGTTAGGAGTGTTCGGGGCTATCGCGGCATGGTGGCTTGCCAGCTTTCCAAGTTCTGGGGTGATGAGGGTGTTGTCCCTAAACCCTAAACCCTAAACCCTAAACCCTAAACCCTAAACCCTAAACCCTAAACCCTAAACTTTGTTCCGAGGCTCAGGATCTGAGTGCTCCTCTATCAACTATCTGCTCCTGCCCGGGTTTTTTCTCTTCGAAAACCTGGAAGGGGGAACCGGCAGCGCGCGAGGATGCCCTCTCGCGCATTGTAGGGCCTAGGATTCTCTTCTAAACCTCAACAAAAACAAGGGCATTGTTCCCTTCTACACACCAAAGTGCGCTGGCTACTTGCTCGGACCGTCGTACATCTTGAGCCAGGGCTGTGCTGCTACTTTGAGAGAGCTGCGCTCCTCCCCGCAAAAAACCCGACATCCCTACACCCGGAGAGCCCCGAACTCCGAACCGTTTCAAGACAGCTGCGCTCCTCCCCTACACTCCAACAGGCCGGATTGAAAGAGACGGAGATTCGAGAGGTCTGCGCTTTGGCACAGGCCTGGGACGCAGACCCTGAACCCCAAACCCTAAACCCTTAATAATAGGACCTGTAGTGCCCAGTCGTATCCCCTTTCTTCCCATCTTCCAGGGGGACGAATCATTGTATTACAAGCCCCTTCATCCAAAATGTTCAGGGTTTAGGGGTTTAGGGTTTAAACCCTTTACTGGACAAACCTAGACTAAGAAAATAGATTCCTTAAGTGAGCTATCTGGGAAGGTCTAGGGAAGTGTGAGGGCTCCGTTTTGAGGGTGAAGGGCTTAGGATTCAAGACCATTCTCCAGGGTTTCGACCTTAAGTGGGTGCACTAAGGCCTGTAACTGAACTTTGTACCCTAAACCCTAAGCCTCAACCCTAAACCCTAAACCCTAAACCCTAAGCCCTAAGCCCTAAACCCTAAGCCGCAGCATCAGATCGGTGCTAGGGCATCGAGCTTGGCCGCTATCACTGCTACTTGCTTAAGAAACCTCCAAGGATCAAAGCTGCGATTCTCTGTATTGCCATACTAAGGAAGAATATGTGTATGTATATATATATATATATAGATATATATGTAGATATTGGTTGATTTTATCTCTTTGTGTGTGTGTGTTTTTTTTGGGGGGGGGTGAAGTCTCGGAGTGGGTTCACAAGGCTTACTCCAACTGCATGAAACCTCACCCTAAGCTCTATAAGTTGAGGTTCAGGGCTTAGGATTTAGGGTCTAATTAGGGTTTAGGGTTTAATTAGGGTTTCGGGCAATTGGGATGTTCCCCCCTTATACTATCAATCTTAGTCGGGGCGGGAAAAGTAGGGCGCTATAATCCCTATGAAGGACTGTTAGTATAAGGGGGAACATCCCGACCTACAAGCCTCAACCTCCTCCTGGAACACGAAACCCCTAGGACCCAGAGTTGGCCCTGATTCCCTTTTTGGGGGTTGGGCTCTCTTACAAGCCCCTTTGAACCAAAAAAGGTGGCACCCTTGTTATTCCTTAGGTTGCTCCTGAACCCTAGACCTCAAACCCTCGACCCTCGACCCTCAACCCTAAACCTTCTAAAAAGGACATCTTCATGAAGCAGCCCGTCCTCCTGGAGCTCCAGCCGCCCTTGGTGGCTTGGTAGCCCGGTGGTACCCTTTTTCCCCTATTTTTTGGTTCGGGTTTGGGGTTTAGGGTTTAGAGTTTAGGGTTTAGGGTTTAGTGTTTAGGGTTTAGGGTTTAGGGCTCAAGGCTCCCTTATAAAGCAACCCTAATGAAGCCCCAAACCCGAAACTTGGGATGTTCCCCCTTGTACTCGCAGCCCGAAATAGGGACAATAATAGGGGGTACTTTAATCCCCATTCAGGACTGCTAGTATAAGGGGGAAGATCCCAACCCTAAACCTAAAACCCTAAACCTAAAACCCTAAACCCTAAACCCTAAACCCTACACAAAGAGAAGGGGTGCCCTTATCACAAGATGGTGGCTGGGCTACCCAAGGTGGTCTGTGGTACGACCAGCTCCTGCATCGACCAGCTGAACGAGATCATCACCAGGCCCGCCGGGGGTTTCAGTTTAGGGTTTAGGGTTTAGGGTTTAGGGTTTAGGGTTTAGGGTTTAGGGTTTAGGGGTTAGGGGTTAGGGGTTAGGGGTTAGGGGTTAGGGGTAGGGGTTAGGGGTTGGGGGTTGGGGGTTAGGGGTTAGGGGTTAGGGTTTAGGTTTAGGGTTTAGGGTTTAGGGTTTAGGAATCCCAGAACTGCTAGACACCCTCTAAACTCTCTAAGCCTCAGCCCACAACTTGTTCAGGGCCCAGCGTGCAGAGGATGCTCGAGCCCCAACATCCCTGGAGTTTACATACATATATACATACATACACACCTGATATAACTTATAAAGTCCCTATATACCTAAGTAGCCCTTAAATGTTTTAGTCCTTTGTTGGCTGGCCTAACCCCAGGCTCTAGCATTTGTAGGCTTATGATTTATAGGGGTTGGGGTTTCAGGCTTCGGGTTGAGGGTATATAGTGTTTTTAAACCTCTAGAAGCAATGAAGCACATGCTTGGAGCTAGGGAAAAAATGCTGCTCCCTGTCATTGCCCTAACCCCTAGACCCTAAACCCGATTTAGGGTTTAGGGTTTAGGGTTTAGGGTTTAGGGTTTAGGGTTTAGGGTTTAGGGTTTAGGGTTTAGGGTTTAGGGTCCCTCATGACAGGGAAATGAGAAAGGACCCTGATATGCCTACTGGTTCTTAGCACGGAATCTGTGGCACCTTGGGGCACCTACAAAGCCCCTAAAGTTTGTTTAGGGTTTAGGGTTAAAGGTTTGAGGTTTAGGGTTGAGGGTTCAGGGTTCAGGGTTTAGGGACTACAGGGATGTAAGCCACCTGGCCCCTAACCCTAAACCCTAAACCCTAAACCCTTAACGCTGTCGTCAGAAGTCGCAAGCAAGATCTATTTCGGGACGCGAAGCATGCCCATTCTTGGCCGAGGAAGAGCAGCCCTAGAACCCCAAACCCTGGGCTCAGGGCTCAGGGCTTAGGGTTTAGGGTCTCTCGATGTGGTAGCCCTAAACCCTAAACCCTAAACCCGAAACCCCTGAAGCCCTGCAACCCCTGAACGCCCCGGAGGTGTGGCGAGCCAGGGCCTGCGAAGTACCTTTTCCTGGGGAACTACGTGAGCAAAGGCCGCCGGGACATCGTCTGGGGTTGTGTAGCCTAAACCCTAAACCCTAAACCCTAACCCTAAACCTCAGAGTTTAGGGTTAGGGATGGTGATTGAAGCCCTCCCATCCCTCAAGAGTTACCAAGCGAGATCTTAACCCCAAAAGCCCAAGCCACAAACGTACACTTCTAACCCAAGAGCCCGCAACCCTAAACCCGAAACCCTAAACCCTAAACCCTAAACCTTAAACAACTTAATTAAGGAAAGCGCCTGAGACCATAAGAAGGATCCTAAGACTATTTTAAAGGATATATGCCTAAGTTAATATTGGGCTGAGCGGTATAGTTTCCTTACCATGTGTTTTTCATTGGCATATGAGTTTTAAAGCCAAATATGATGGAGGCAAAAATGAATGCTACGGAACTCCAAGGTGTAGGGCTTGCAGCCTGAGGGTCCAGGTCTTAGGCTTAAGGCAACACACGCAAAATGTATGTGCTGTGGCTAAACATAGGGAGATGTATGTACTTTGGTTCGAAAGGGCACCCGAAACCCTAAGCCCCCAAAGATCTTGCTGTCCCAACAGGTCGAACAAGATCTGCCGTGGAGAAGAGTGGCATAGACCTCGTGATCCTTCTCTACTGCGCCTTGGGTGTTTGGGGTTTAGGGTTTAGGGCAAGGACCCTGAGTCGGCTCTTATTCCTTTTTTTTTAGGATTCAGGTGCCCTTATAAGCCCCTTTAAACCAAAAAAGGTCTATTTTCTATTCCTAGGTTACTATTCCTAGGTGACTCTTGGGTCTAGTTACAGTAAACGCCAGAAAGATGACTAGAGCTGGGATTCCCTTAAGTATACCTCCTGGGGGGTGGGGACAAGGATGTTCCAACTTTTTGGAGTGTACTGTAGGGAGAGCGGGTGTTGGGCGAAGGTTGCTTGTCAGTTCTTGACCGAGAATTAGGCAATCAGGTGCCCTAGCTATATAATATCTTTCCCCGAATCTTCAGGATTCCCGTATAAAGGACCAGTAAGGTTCAAAACCCTAGGCCCCAACCACATAAGCCCCAGGCCATAAACACCCCAAACCCTAGAACCCAGGGACCCTAAAATCCTGGAACCCTAAAACCTGAAACCCTAAAACCCTGGAACCCTAACCCCTAAACCTTAAACCCTAAACCTAAAGCCCTGGAACTCCAGAACCCCAGATCCCAAGCCCTGGCACCTATATGTACACCCCGTCGAGGTTACATGTGCAAGCACCCGGACCAAGTCTTTCTGCTCCGTGGTCGGCAGGACATTAAGGGTCTAGGGTTTAGGGTTAGAGTTTTCGGGGTGTGAATGGACCTTCGGGGTTAGGAGTTGGAGTTGAGGGCTTTGTGTTCTGGTTTGCAGAGCTTAAATCCTCACCTTGGGTCAAGATGCCCCCAACCCCCACCCCCAAAGAAAAATCAACTTGTCTAGGGGTCATGGCCCAAAGAAAATTTTGCTTCGGGGTCATGGCCTTACGTTGGGATGCCCCCCCTGAAACGAGCAATCCTTAATTTCGGGATGCTCATAGTAGGGGGTACGGTTTAGGGTAGGGTTTAGGGTTTAGGGTTTAGGGTTTAGGCTTAGGGCTTAGGGCTTAGGGTTTAGGGTATATATTCCCTATTAAGGACTGCTAGTTTTAGGGGAAGCAGCCCACGCCAGAGGCAACAAGAGAACCTAGGGCTTGGGGTTTAGGGTTTAGGGTTTAGGGTTTAGGGTTTAGGGTTTAGGGTTCAGGGTTTAGGGTTTAGGGTTTAGGGTTTAGGGTTTAGGGTCCTCCGAGCCTTGGAGGTTTAGCAGTTGTTTTTGTTGCCTCAGCCCGGTGCCTGCAACGCCGGAAGCCGCAGAACCCGAAACGCCAAACCCCTAAACCCTAAACCCCTAAACCCTAAACCCTAAACCCTAAACCCTAAACCCTAAACCCTAAACCCCAAGCCAGGAGTGCTCAAGCCTCAGTCGGATATACGGCTTCTATGACGAGTGCAAGCGCAGGTACAACGTGAAGCTGTGGAAGCGCGTTGCAGCTATGGACACGCACAAGAGTTCCTTTTTTTGCCCTTAAAAGGGGGCTTTGGGGGTTTAGGACTTAGGGTTTACGGGAAGAGGTTGAGGGCTCCTGTACAAGCCCACTCCAAAATGTGGTAATACAGGGGCCTGAATACTTAGAGTAGGGTTTTCGGGGTTACTATAGCAATGAGCCTAAGCGTATTCGTAATCATTCCGACCCCGAAGGTAGATGAAGTTCTGCGCTACCGAGGTAGAAACAATGAACTGCATGCCACTTTGTGCTCTGATTCAGAGCCTGGGTAGCCCAAGTGGTGCCCAATTCTCCCTTTTTTCTTGGTTTAGGGTTTAGGTTTTTGGGTTTAGGGTTTAGGGTTTAGGGTTGGGGTTCAAGGTTCCCTTGTAAAGTACCCAACCCCAAAAAGGGTGCCCTAATTTCAATGTGGGGCTTTTAAAACCCTAAACCCTACACCCTAAAGCCCTAAACCCAAAAACGGGTGCCCTTTTTGTAGTATGGTTACTGGGCTACCAACCCTAAACCCTACAAACCCTAAACCCTAAACCCAAGGAGCCGAATCTTTTGCGTGTCGTCTGGGCTTTCTCCGGAGCTTCGCACGCTGGATGCCAGGTTCCTGTGCGTCACCTTTTTCTTTTATTGTTTGTGACGTTTAGGGTTTAGGGTTTAGGGACCCTCGTTCCCCTATTCCCTCGACTTAAGCCCACCGTCCCCTACCTAAACTTTAGAGTTTAGGGTTTAGGGTTTCGGGCTTAGGGTTACTCCTAAACCCAACCACATGAAGCAACCTTTGCGTTTCCTGCTTGTGACCAGACATAGGATCAAATCAACGAGATTGCCCGCCCCACAGACGTTCCTGACCACGGTCTAATTTGCGACCTGTTGCTTGGTAGCGCATTGGAACCCTTTTTCCCTATATACTAGCCAACCCCCAAAAAGGCCCCTAAACCCTAAACCCTAAACCCCAAACCCTAAACAGAACCCTTGTTGTAATTATGGTTACTGAGGTTACTGGGCTACCAAGTTAGGGGGTATGCCCAAAACCCTGAACCCTGAACCCTATAAACCCTAAACCCTAAACCCCTTGATTATGATATGGTTACTGGGCTTCCTAGGTTGTGGTCTTCGCCAGAGACTGACGTCAACGGGTGGACAGAGATGGACAAGGGTGTGTCCTACTGCTTTGGACAAGACATTGTGGAGAATTTCCTCAAGCAGAACCAGCTGGATATGATCTGCCGAAGTGGTCAAGTGTGTGAAGCTGGCTATGAGTGCCTGAGCCACAACAACTCTGTCACCAAGACTTAAGACCATTGCTACAGCAGTCGAGAATTTCTTGCCTGCTGTTTGTCGTTGTGGTTTTTGTTCGGGTATGAGCTCAGCAATGCTGTTGCAGAAACGCCTCGTCGCCCGTCGTCCCCCGAGCCTCAGGTATTTTGCAGATCAGAAGCTTGTTACGGTCTTTAGCTGTGCCAAGTACTGCGGGGAATTCGACAATGCGGGTGCTGCTGCTCGGCCTTTCCAGACAGCAGATACTACCCAACATCACAATCAGAATGTCATTGCTATTCATAACAGTCATCACTGCTATGACTACCCTAGGGACCACATGAACCCTAAAACTGGAATCATGTACACCTTTTCTACTTGTGTTCCTACTCATGTATATGGACCCTAAACTCCATCAGCATCAGCCATCGTCGTCATCACCATCAGTAACGAGAACTGCGTGCTCCCTTGTTCGAGTAACCGATACCCCCCCCCCCCTCCCAAAAAAAAACAAAGTGCCCTCCATACAGTGTGGGGTTTCATATATGCTTGTCTCCTGCCCCCTCCCTTTTCGCCGTGTCAGATCTTTGGCGGGCCTTACTGACCCCGCCCCCCTTCCCTTCCGGGCAGGGGGGGGTGGGTCGGGCGGGGGGGGTGGGATGGGGTGGGGGTAGGGTCAATGGATGTGTGGGCGTTCTGCAATGGAATAGTTTCCAGCAGTCTCCCCCACACGCCCTGTAAGTTGGAGGGTGGGGGTGGGGGGTGGGGGGGGGGGGGGGGGTGGGGGGGGGGGGGGGGGTGGATATTTTTCTTTCCTGTAAGGGCATGTAGGGAGTATTATTCTGTGTTTTTTGGAGGGTTCAGAAGCAAATTGATGCAAAGGGGTCGGAAGAATTACTACTAGAATTCCCTTACGCATAGTTCTACCAGTAGAACTTATGACCCCAAAACCCGATACCCATTCTCCAAGTACATAGGCTCCTATATTTGAATGCTTGGGCCGCCAAGAACTTTCCAGGCTTCAAACCATAACGCTTCGTCACCCATTCGAAAGGGTTTAGGTTTAGGGTTTAGGGCTTCTATACATGATCCCCACCCCATTTTAGAGGCCGCAGGCGCTAAAACCCTAAGCCCTTTTTAACGTCCAAGCTCTGCAAGGGGACCCTATGCAGCCTTCAACCAACCCTGAAACCCAAGCCCTTGCATGACCCAGCTTTGGAATCCCCATGCCCCCATGTGGCTTTGACTACATACGCTCATGAAGAGACTAAGGAGGGGCGTTTATAAGCGACCTTAGGGGATATAGAGTGAGGGTCCCTTCTAGGGGTCCCTTCGCAAAACCCATAAGCTCATGTGCCTAAGGTTATGCTGGTGAATGCGGAGATGCAGTGTTCCTTTGTGACTTACTGATGTCTCATGGCTTGCGCGGAACCGCAGCTCCGAACCAAAACCCGCCACCAGCGAAACAGTCGCCCGATATGGCTCCAGTGTTCTGAAACGAGCCAGAATCTCGTTGGGTCCTCGTTTTAGGTGGTAGTTTTCCTGTTCTTTCTTAGGGAGGTGACATGGTCCCTTACTATGGCCCCTTACCTTCGTTAAAGGGTCTGAAGCATTGGCTTTGGGTTTCATAGGGTACATAAGGGTTATATAAGGGGACCCCTGTTAAGGACCCACACAAAGGGACCATGTAACTACCCTAAGGTTCTTGGGTTTAAGAGGCTTGGGGTTATGAGGGTTTCACGGGCCACCATCGTTCAGTAATTAGATGCAAAGAGTCCCACAAGGCCAGGCTTATCTTCTTAAGGTTGGGCTGTCTAGGTAGCACGCGAACAACCACCCCCCCCACCCCTCAAATCCTGAAAGACTAAGCACAAGCAGAAGTGCGTCATTTTGCATTTCAACCCTCAACCCTAATCCCTGCACCCTAAACCCAGGATTTTCCGTTCAGGGGCAGTGTTTAGGGTGTAGGGTCAAGTGACTAAAGGAGCGACCCTTACAAGGGACCTTGGGGGTTATTTGGGGGTTATTTAAGGGCTACTTAGGTATATAGGGACTTTATAAGTTATATCAGGTGTGTATGTATGTATATATGTATGTATGTGTAGATGTATATATGTGTATATGTATATATGTATTTATGTATATATGTATATATGTTTATATGTCTATATGTCTTATATATATACATATATATATATAATATAATATATACACACATATGTATATATATATATATATATGTATAGGGGTTAGATAGGGGAATATGATTAAGGGTCCCTTCTAGGGGTCCCTCCTTATACCCCTGAAGAGGAGCAGCCTTAAAGCGGAGCGACTCGGGTGGCTACAGTGGTTCAGGGTTTAGGGTTTAGGGTTTAGGGTTTAAAAGTTTAGGGTTTAGGCCTTTCGCCGCTTTTGGGGGGTTCCGGGCTCGCTTCTAGGAGCCGCCACCCCTGCAAGAAGGGTACCTTTATGATGATAGTAGCCCTAAACCCTAAACCCTAAACCCCAAACCCTAAACCCTAAACCCTAATATGGGTCACTGGGCTACCAGGGGGGGAAGTCTCGTTCAGCGGTCAGGTTTGGGGTATCCTGGTTCTATGCGGGTTGCAGGTGACTTAGGGTTTAGGGTTTATGGTCTAGGGTTTAGGGTTTAGGGCTCACGGCCAAGTCCAGGCAGGGTTAAGGTTTCAGGGTCGTTTTAGGATTTGTTTAAGTTGTTTTAAAGTGTTTAATGGGGTTTAGGCCTGGGTTTTTGTCGGTTTTCGTTGCTGGGGTTTTCGGGGTGTAGGGGCTTAAGGCCCTTGATGTAGGCGTTGGTTTTTCGCCAGGGTTCTTGGGAAGGATTCTAATTTCCTTGGCGAGCACTCAGGCCTAAACCCCAAACCCTAAACCCCAAACCCTGAACCCGAAACCCTGAACCCTAAAAACCCCAAACCTCGCGATTGCTCACAGGATTTCGAACTCAGGGGGTTTCGGGCTGATGGGCATTGGAGCTAAAGCTCCAAAGTTTGCTGCTCCCCCAATAACTGTAGCCACTTTGGGATGTTCCCCTTATACTAGCAGTCCTTAATCTAGGACCCAGAGTAGGCCCTTGTTCCCTTTATTTCGGGCCTAGGTTCCCTTGTAGGCCTAAACCAAAAGGTTACTCTGGGGTCTAGTAATAGGGATTATGGTATACCCCCTACTATGATCCGATTAAGGACTGATACCCTGGTAGCCCAGTGGTACCCGGTTGCCCGTGTTTTTTTGGTTCTAGGTTCCTTTATAAAGTGAGCAACCCCAGGAAGGTGCCCTTACTTGAAATTGGTTACTGGGCTACCAAGCACCTTATTTGCCATTATTTGCTTAAGAAGCATACAAAAAACAGCAATATGCTTCCTGGCAAGGGCAGTAGTGGGGATTATCGTTCTTTACTTTGGAGGGGGGCGTGCTTCAGCACATAGTAGATTGTAAGCCCTGAACCCTAAACCCTAAACCCTAAACCCTAAACCCTAAACCCTAAACCCTAAACCCTAAACCTAAACCCCAAACACGCAGCACCGAAACTCCGATGCCTGAGGAGGCGGGCTGCAAGTTCGCGAAGTGGCGCAGCCCGCTGCAGATCTCGCCGCGGTCTCGGCATTCTGGGTGCTCTGTGTTTGGCTTTCACTAGGTCTCTCAGTGGGCCCTGTTTCCCTTTTTGGGGCCTTAGGTTCTTTATAAGACTACCCGATACCAAACAGGGGGCCCTTATTATTCCTAGGTTACTGGGGATCCTAGTTCAAAGGTGGGTGAGGGAGGATCCATCGCAGTGGGCAGTTTTTTTTTTTTTTTTGTGTGTGTGGGGGGGGGGGGGGGTGGGGTGGTTCTGAGATGCTCCGGACCCTAGACCCTAAACCCTAAACCCTAAACCCTAAACCATGAATATTGGGGATATTTTGGGATGTTCCCCCTTATACCAAGAGTCCTTGATAGGGATTATCATCGGGGATGCGTATAAAGAACATCCCAAAGTCGGGTTTAGGGTTTAGGGTTTAGGGTTTAGGGTTTAGGGTTTAGGGTTTAGGGTTTAGGGTTTAGGGTTTAGGGTTTAGGGTTTAGGGACTAGAGGGCTCAAAAGGGACCAGAATTTTGAGAACTCGGGAGGTGAACTGAAGTGTGGGGCCTTTTTCTGACTCCTCGGTTGTGGTGTCTTCGTTGTGTCGTAGGGCACCAGAACCCAAACCCTCAAGCTCGAAACCCTAAACCTCTAAACCCCGAACTCCTCAACCAAAGAGCCCCGCACCCCTAACCCCTAGCCCCCTACACCCTAAATGCCTAAAACCCCCAAACCTCTAAACCTTAAACCTCGTACACTCTAAACCCACTGCATCCAGAAGCCCCAGACCGTAAATCCCTGAGCCGCAAAACCCCAAAACGCTAAGCCCCGAAACTCCTACATTCCTAAACCACAAATGAAGTCCCTCTGGCCGGGTCTACGGTTCTTGCCCGACAGCGAGGCGTACGGGCCCAGCCCAGCTCGTCATAGAGGCAAACATGCAGGACTGAACTTGGGGTTTAGGGTTTCGGGTTTAGGGTTTAGGGTTTAGCCTTTAGCCTAAACCCTAATAGGGTTTAGACTGAACTTGGGGAGTTTGGGGTTTAGGGTTTCGGGCTTAGGGTTTAGGGTTTAGACTGAACTTGGGGACTTTGGGGTTCGGGGTTTAGGGTTCGTTGATCCCTTTTGTTTCTGGTCATAAACAAGATCTTACGCCCAAGAAATAGGGCTAGGCGTTACACAAAGTTGAAGGAATAAGGCCCAACTTCCAAGATACCCACAGAAAATGTTGCAGACCGTAGTTGGGTTTTGTATTTCTGAGGCAAGCCGCCTATGAAACCCTGCTAAATAGCTGCAGCTTTCATGGAAGTCGCCCACTAAGAGGACGTTGCATGTTTTGCTGGTTCTGTCTCAAGGTATGCAACATCACTCCGTTTGCAGCTCACAAAAACCGCGAGAACGTCATAGACGATCGTGATAGATCAAAGCACACGGATCTTCAATTTGCATAGACATCTAGCTAGCCATTGAACCTGGTACCGTCCAAGTTTGGTTTAAACCAAGCTGTGATATGGCGACAGGTTCTCACAAACACCGTCACTACTGAGAGGGAGGTGATTCCACAACCCCCCCCCCCCCCCCGGTTGCCCTAAGACAGAACGACGCTAGGTTTTTAGGGCCGTGCCAAGTATGACAAGCTTGCTCTGCATTCCCATGTATGTATTAGCATGTTTGAGGTTGATCCACACGACCCTAACATTCCATTGTATACACTCGGGCCTTGAAGGGGTTGCTGTATAAGGCCCAAGTATGTACTATTCAGGTACATGGACCCTCAGGAAAACTTGCGAAACGACACGCTTATGCAATGAACAATGCCTCGCCTGTCAGTA